GGGGGTGGATCCCCAGAGGTCCCCTCCAACTCCTACCATTCTGTGATTCATGGATGCATTCTTAAATATTTTTATAAACACTTGAATGGTGTATATTCCTGTACATCGTATACAAAAAGAAATACTCAGAATCTTTAAAAAGTAATAGCCTCTCATTATGTAAGAGTTTACTAGAGCAGAAACTGTTACAGTCTAAACAGTGTTGCTTAAACACTACTATGTTTTAAGTCACTATCAGATTGCATAAGTGATTTCTACCTGAGATCAAAAACAATCTAGTTTGATTATATGGTGTGGAAAAAATGTATTTTCCTCATAGTAAGATTTTTGTAACATCTCACTTCTACTCCTCTACTGTGGCAACTTGCCACAGCATACGAAGAAAAGCACTTGGTAAGGACCGTTGAAGTGTTTGAGGAAAAAAAGGGTTCCAACCTGTCTAAATTCAGAGCACAAGGCACAACATATATATTTCTCCACTAATTTCAAGTGCACAGCTGCATCCAAAACTTTACTTCAAGGCGGCAAGTAGGGCCACGTTGCATAAAACCAATGTCCCTCTAGTTCTGGATTCTGTCTCTACCAAGGGCCTGCAACAGATGGCTAGGGGAATAACATAAGAACAGAGCACACATATATTGATATTCCCTCCCATATATACATTTCTCCATCTCCATGCAAATTTGCTCAACAAATTCCTAAGCCAGAGATTGCATCTTTGTATTTTTATAATACTCAGTGACTCCTATGAGCATCTACACAAATCCTGTCTCTCCAGATTACAGAAACTATGCAAGTTATTATCACTTTCTGCGAGGTCATAGAGAAAAACAGTTATTAGAAGATGAAGTGCTTCCTCCTTCTTAAAAGAAAATTCTAAGCAAAAAATAGCATTGCATCCAGAGAGTAACAGTTACAGACAGACAGATATGCAGTATGTAGTGCTGCGATGTGTACGTACATAATACGGGCTTCAATTACACTCTTTTTAAAAAAGCATTATTTCTTGCATAAATTAATTACATTTATATATAAAACCCCTGTAAAGTCATTCTCATGCCTATATGCTTCACACTTTTGTCCTAATTGCTTATTGTACCTTCATAAAACTAATGACTTGGTAAAGTCAGCATGAATTGGTATTATGAGGACAGACTCCTAATTCAGCACCTTGTGCTCTGACCATGAAACCACACTGCAACTTTCCCACTGTAAAATCCAGCCAACAATCCTCCCAGATTTCCTGGGAAAATTTTCACTTTTTTAAAGGAAAATAGGGTCACATTTTTTTTTAATTCCTTCATTTTCTTTCTTACCTGATGTGCGGGGAAAAAAAGGGGGGGTGGACGTGGGAAAGACCAACGCAAAAACAAAAACTGCAGCCTCTACCAATTAACAAAAGGCACTTCTCATCCAAAATTTTTGTGGTTTTTGTGTTTAAAGCACTTGACAAGACAGTCCAAACTACCTGTGACTTTTGACTCCTAGGTGTGATGTGCAGTAAAATACATTAAACAAGTTACCTCTGTGAGGGATCCACAGGGCACTCCACCATGCAAGACTTTATCCAAACTATGCAGTGTGGTGGATAAAAAAGCTGAAGAGGGATTGACAGACTTCCTCAGTTTCATTTCATAAGCCTACAAAAGGAGGGGTAAAAGCAAAAGAAAACAAACACACAAATCATAAAATGCTTTTTTTTGGGTTTTTTAATGGAAATAGCAAGGTTCTCGCATTTGCTTTCATCAGCCTGGAATGACACTTGCCAATAAGCACACTATTCCTATCTTCAGCTGTAGTCCTCTCTTCGCTCATCACCTTTTCTAGCATTTATATTTCATTTATAGCTCACAAAGTACATTTAAAAGTTTGATGTATCTCCCTCACCACAATATTAGATGTCTTTAATAATGAAGTGTGAAAGGTTTTCTCTGCTCCTATTCAACAAGGCTTGCTTTCAACCCATAAAACTCCAACTTTTAAATAAGTAAACACTGTATGTATGGTTAGTGACCACTGCAAAACACTGCCATAAAACCTAAAACCAAGAAATCCCTGGCCAACCTCTGTTATTAATTTGAAACTAGCTGGGTTGAAGGAAAGGTTCGTTAAAGATTCCCAAGTCCTTGAACAAGCCTGGACTGATCCTGTAGCCATTCATAATTTTCCACTTTTGTGAGGAAAGACCAGTCAAGATGACAGGACAGGTACAGAAAAGAAAATGGCTGAATTCCTAGTTCCTCCTCAGACTAAAGGTACTGGCCCAAGATCAGAATCCTAGTTCATAAGAATTTTTTTCATTTGGGGAATCAATTTAAACCAGACAAAGAAGAAATAACAAAATGGAAATGCTGATCTGGAAACACTAACACATGATGTTTCCAAAACAAACAGGTCTTGCTCACACCTTGCAGACATCTGCTAAAACTGACACATTCCTCAACCACTGAGCATCCTGAACACCAGCGGTTTTGTTTTTAAAAGGAACAGTCCAAGATCTAAAGGCTGTTGCTCTAGTTATAGCTAAGAGTTCCCAGCGGTTTCAGACCCCTGGCACAACAACAGAGATTCTCGAAGCCCTGTCACAGTGTACTGCTGTAAGCTGCCATCACTGAGCGCTCCAGAAAAACCAATTTCTCCGTGCCTGAGAAAAATACAGGCATCAGATTTATCTCAGCCCTAAGACAGTCTGCTGGACAGACCTAAGACAGCTTGTACCTTCCTTTTTTTATGCTACAGTTCTTCCCTAGGTTATGACAGGTAGTATATTAGAAAAATATTTAAAATTCATTCAGACCTCTGTTTTTCAGTTCTACTAAGGAGAAATATACAAAAAATAGCTTTTAAGACACAGAACAGGCCAATACAAAAAACAATGCATTTTACCTTACTTAAATGGGATCACAGTTTATGCTCAGATTCACTTTAAGAGTGAATACATGTACTAACGAAGAAGGATTTGCAACATATTTTAATCATTTTTTGTTTAACTTCAGACAGGACTTAAACTCTGTAGACTGGAAACAAAATCTGTAGACCACGGAAACAATGTTCTAGTCTAGCTTTCCTGCCTAACATGGACTTCAAAATTTTACCCAGTGATTTCTGTATTTAACCCACAAAACTAAAGTTGAAACAGAATGTCTTTCAGTTAAAAAAAAAAAAAGTCTATCAGGAGTCCAAGTGAACAAAAAAATTACCACATCCTTAGACAACCTTTTCCAATAGTAACTTAAGTTAGTTTCTAAAGATGTTCTTATTACTTCCCATTTAAGGGATTTCTTTTTTAATTTATCTTCCCGCTACTGGATCTTGTTCAGGTTTTTGTTCAGCTAGACTCTAGAGACCTCTAATATAACTATCTTTTCCTACTCAGCATATAATGTGATCAAGTCACCCCTTAACTAACTTCCTCTCTGATGAGCTGAGTAGGCTTCACTCTGTACCTCATACTGCGAAGCAAGTTTTCCAGAAATTAAGAGTTTTACTGTATATCTTGGCATATTCTCAACTGCTGCTGCCAGTGCTTCCAATGTTATACCTGGACAGTATTTTTCCTTTATTTATATCTCCTATCATCTAATTTATTTTTTTTTTTTACTCAAAGGTATTGTCAAACCTTCTTGCTACATCAGTCATGATGTTACATCAGTCCCTCTGACCTGAAGTCCATTTGAAATCCTGTGTTCATAAAGATTCAATCCGCATCCCTTAAAAAGAGCTAACATCCTCTGTTTCTGGAAGTACAGCTCTTTATTGTATGCACTTAGATAGCTGGTCATCTGTCAGCTGGCTCTGTATTAACAGTCCTTGACAACTGCCATCTGACAAACTTCAGTATCTGCCAAGCTTCTCGGCAAAGAAATTTGATTGAATAGTGATGTGTGGATGACAGGCTAAATCAAATGCTAGAACTCTAAACTTCCATCTGTCTTGAAAATACTGATTATTAAGTTACTGATGGAAAAGTAGTAATTGGCTAGCTTTTAATCCGTTCAGTACAAGTCATCTTAATTCTGCATATCGCTAACTTTAATGCAGTATGTTTGTGAATTTAAAGTTTTAGAGTTACTGCTACAATTACTATGCCAATTACACATAATAAGCTTTGACATGGCTTACTTTTTTCAGGAAACAACGAAGGTTACACTGACATAGGACAGAACTGTCCATGTCTTCTCTGTTCTAAAAAGACACCATTTTTGACATCTTTTCACCTGAACTCAATAAAGAAAACAAAATCCAGCCACTGCATAGCAGCTAACATCTGTTTTCTTCTTGCACTCTCCCCAGCTATACCACCTGTAGCCTAAACCACACTACAGCTCATTTACATGGATGGAAAAAATCCTGAAGAAGTTATTTTCAGGATCACTTCACTTCTTGGCACCAATTTTACGTATAAAAGCAGTTTATACTGAAATTCTTATTCCTTGCTTGTATTAACCAATGCGGGTTTTTTAGTTGCAGGGTTCAAACTAGCAACAATTTTTATATGCTGGATTGCAAGAGAGAACACTGTTTCTCCCTACTGCGCTCAGAATCGATTCTGCAAGCCTGAACAATCTCTTGAGGCTGTAACGCCTAATAAAAGTCATTGCATCAAACTAAAGTGCCTAAATAAAAATTTAAAAATAAAAATAAAAGTACTATTTCATTGTGCAATCAAACTGAGACACCACAAACTTCCCAAGTAAAACGATGAGTGACACTGTTTAGCTTTTTCCCAGATATTGTATTAAAAAGAGAATCAACACAAGCTTACTTACTGTCTGCATTTTGGGAGCACAAGCTCGGCTGACTTTACAAAGAAGCTTCTGCACATCATAGTAGCTCTGTCCCGTCACTTTCATTAGCTCCAAGAGGGAAAGACATAAAAAGTCCTGAAAGATGACAGAACAGTTCAGAGAGCTTGACACAGAAATCAAGACTGGAAACTAAACTGATGCAATTTATACACAACTAGTAGACATTCCACAGGTTTACCAACTGTGCCACACTATTGTGCTATACCGCTCCTACCTTTCTCTTATACCAGTATATTAAAGAAAATTGATTGATATTTTAAAGGACATGGAGTCTAAGGACCAAACATTCAAGAACTATGTGATGGAACTGCAACAAGGTAACATCTTTTTGTCCACAAAAGTCTCTTCCTACCTGAAAAACATTCAAATTACCTCATGTCTTCTAGATTGCAGTCCTAGGGCTAGATCCTGTATTTATGGTGCATACTACTGAAATACATAGAGCCTCTTGGCTCTCTTTAGGTGAGCATTCATAAGAACAATTTCAGAACGCACTGCTGGATCAACCTATAACCGACAGTGTAACATCACAGCACGTTCGCACACTAGATTATGTATTATAAACACAATTTTGTGATGTGTTCACAAACGGATGTCTTACTCCATACAAGTAGTAGCTGCACACCCTTGCTAAAATAAAGCATCTTCAGGTTCTTCAGAAGAGAAGGTAGTAAGTACATACAAGTTCAAATGATTTAGTTAGCCATCTATAGTTTTAAAGCTATATTTTTTTACAAGGCAGCAGTCCAGATAGAGCCTGAAGTGCCCCCTACTTTATAGAAAGTAAAGCTCCCTGCAAATTAAACCAAAAAAAAAGTAAACAGTACATGTATTAAAACACAACATTCCCACACTCACCCCGCAAAAAAAACCAACAGCAAAACAACCAACCCCAAAAAACACCCGCCTCAAACATAAAACAACCCTTTCACCTGACAGGTAGTGATCTGATGGCGGCTCAACCTTTCACACAGCTCCTGAGACAACCTTGCTCTTCTCAGTTTCTTAGCAGCCATGCTCCCCAATCTACAGGGCAAACAAAAAAATTTTTGAAAGATGCGTGGAATATGACTATGCAGACAATTACACTCCTTGCTAAAGAACAGGAAAGTGTGCACATGTGTGTGTATATACATATAATGTGCTATAGACTTCCCTTATAAATCTACATTACATTATATTATCACTCTGAAAGCAGCTATGTTAAATTATATCTCCTCATATTTGACCATGTATGAGATCATGCCAGTAAGAACAGAAGAGTCAGCAATGCTTATAGGACAGAAGTTTCTGGGACATAAGAAGGCTGCAAATTACTCTGTGGTGAACTGAACAAGAACTCCTCATGCCACACCTCACTGGAAAGAATTAAGGTTACCCTTGGATGCCTTAACACGAATAGTGGAGTAATCATGGTAAGTGTTTAGCCGTAGAACAAACACTGCTACAACACAACACTTGGTCCTTGTGAAGCGGGATTCGTGGCAGATGTTGAAAGAACAGGAAGGACCCTGAAAGGAAACTCCAGAAAGACTGAAGGACTGGAAACATACTTTAGCACGCAAGACTCAAGATGGTCAAACTAGTCAAACCCATCTCGTAATAGTCTATGTAACAATTTATGAAACAAACACAGTTAATAGAGTTATTTAACCAACAGCGTAAAAGAAACCAGAGGCCAAAGCTAAACACATGAAGATGAGAACTACAATGTAAATATTACTTTATTGTAAAAATGAATAAAAATACCATTGGACCAAGGCAGCAACAATTGTGGTATATTCAGTCACTTAAGCAAATTGTATTTATCGAAACTCCTGCTTAAAGAGTATCTATTTCACGTAAGCCTTAAGGCTATTTTGCATAGCAGATAAGACTATAGTGCCACTACCAATCCTTCCTCCCTGAGCACGCAGCTATTTGCATCTGTCCTTTTTTTTTTTTGGTCATTTCATTCTACTGAACAAAACGCCACAGGATGGCTTTCAGCTGGGTACAATCTAAAGCCTGTATTCCTAACCTATAGGTATGTTCGAGCACACAGCTGTTTCACATACATTATTTAGGCAATATTCCTAGTATTTATTTAGCCAGAAGTTCAGGCACAATAAAAAGGGTTTTAAATAATGGGGAATTGATACAACTTTTGCAGATGCAGAGGCCTCCACACCTTCACAAGATGGAAACTCTTGTGCGGCCTCCGCGAAACCCTCTTTAGACAGGGGAGGGGGAAACCAAACCTTCGCAGTATCCACCGTCCCCCCAGGTGACCAGCTGTGCCAATAACCATTTCCCGCACCAGCTGCTCGCTCCGCCTCCGCCATTACGGAGCCCAGGCACCGCCT